TAGTTAAAATGTTAAGACTCTGCCTTTTCTTATAGCACCCAAAGTCAAGAAGAGGCTTATACCACAAAGAAATCAGAGTCCCTTGTTTTGTATAAGTGAAGCTTCTCAAGGAGCCAACACCATATTTCCAGTAAAATCTGCAGTACATACTGGAGCCTGAGCCTAAGCCATAAGGCAGAGAGCAATAAAATCCAAAACATTCTAGCTAGAGACTGCTATTTGTGCACAGGTCACCAACACAACTCTTTCCTTGCTATCCTTGAATACATTTTCAGTTGGTCACACAGCCACATCCTAAATGTAATACCATTAATCACTGCTTTTCATGATTGAGACAAGTTGTGGACAGAACTAGCACTAAAAGATTTTCCTGTCCTTTCAAAATAATCGTGGGGCTTTTTTCCACCCCTCACCTCCATTGACAAGAGTTAACAGTAAACAAAGCCATTTTTGCACATCAAGTCACCAAGAACAGTGCAGTAATTTTACCAGCAACAAAAGAGTATATAAACAGAAACCAGGAATGATGGTATTCACAAAACCAGAATACAATGGAAAACAATTTGCCTGCAGGTGCTCTACACTGTCATAATAAATAAACTCATTGCCTACCATATAACAGTATCTGCCCTGACTTTTCTTTTTTGTATGTTTCCTGCCTAGGGATCTTATGAGGTAGAGAAACATCAGAAAATTAAAGTTCACTTTTAAAAATAAAAGCTTGTAGACAGTTTAAGCATTTCTAAAACACACAGAGGCCATGCTTAAAGAAAACATTGGTGCCCAGAAGCTATCTTTACCTTTACAATAATCAACAAATTGCTTTTTCCAAGAGCAGATGAAGGTTTTGTCATTGGCAGTTTGCCAGTTGCCTTTATATTTCTTTCCTTAGTTTTCTGTTCTTGTGTCAGAGGTGAATTGGCAATTTTTGTAGGAGACACATGAGTTTTAACAGGGCTTCTGTTTGGAGGAGTATGAAGAGCATGTGTTTTGTCATCTGACAAAAGTTTATCCGATTCCTTCTGAAAACAAGGTGGCAGCTGACATGCTGGACTATCCTGCACACAGTATGTCTCCCTTTTAACAGCCCTGGGGCTTTTCTCCATATTTTGGTTTCTTAGTATTTTCAATTTTGACTTTGAGTCCTCCACAAATTTTTCTATAATCTTGTTTTCCTGTTCTTCTGATTGGCTTATTTTAGTCTGTTCATTCTTGCTTCCAGTCTCTATTTGCAGTGCTAGCAGATGAGCTTCTTTGAAGATTTCAACGAATTTCTCTCCTGTAAGTGGGCTCCACACTAATTTATCATCAGAAGCAGGCACGTGCTTTTTTTCAGCAGTCTGTTTTGCTTCAATCTGGACAGCGATACATTTTTCTTTATGTCCCAAAGGTCCAATAAAAACTTCATCTTCATTTCCACTATGAATAAAAATAAGTTAGCCCAGCACCTTACATGTGTCCATTTTAAAGGTATATTTACTTGCAGACACTTCACTTACCTTGCTGGAGAGAGCGAAAGGTCAAAATCAAACTTTTCATCAATCAGAAGAGGGAAGTCTGAAACTGTAACAACAAGGATTTTGTCACAGTGGAGTTTTGCAGTAAAAATGACTGCATTATGCTTTGACAATTTTGGTGAATTATGCTTTGACAATCTGATGTCAGATGGCAAATAAAGTTTAAATAACTAAAATAATAAAAACATGTTTTAGTTCAAAGAAATTGAAGGTACAGCTGTGAAAATGTTCAGAACTGTGATAGACACCCAAATATGAAAGATCTCCATGTTAATTTCTAAGCATCCATAATAGGAACATGGGATCTGGCTGTGGAAAAAAGTATCGGCAGCCTCCAATCAAGAAAACTGAAGATATATAATCTAGAGCTATATGACAATGCAGCTGTCATATCAGTCCCTTTCCGGTTCAGGCCGCCACAGGACAGTAACAGAAGCCAGTGAGAAAGATTAGTTTTCTTGTCAGCTCATATATACACTAAATATTAATTGAATCCATGGCAGACAGATAAAAGGGAGGAGCTCAGATTAGATATATAGCAGTGAGGTCAATGACATCATGTCACTACTACACATCCTCTAGCACCAGTGCTTCACAAGCCCTTGAGGAGGCTTTTAAGTCTGAGATGGGCAACAGCTGCCCATCCAAGGAAATGAGTACACAGAACAATATATAAAGCAAATAGAGATGGTCTACTGATCTGAACTGTCTTTACTTTTAATAAGGAATACACCAGGTCACCTACCACTGCTCATCCAATTTTCTTCAACCGTGTGATTTGAGTAATGCGCTGCCAATTCTTCTCCTCCTTCCATAGCGTCTGAAAAATACAGAATTAGCTATGCAGTAGGTTTAAGAGAATAACAATAAGGTCATCGAATTTTATGATACTGCCAAATTAGCAAGGAGGTAAATATTCCCTTTGAAGACTTGTATGTTATATTTAGGGACAGCCACATAAACATGATTTGTGGGACGTCACACATCTCGCCATCCTCTCTTGAAGCATGCTATCGAATTAGCTGAGACTATGTATATGTAAAGTTTTGCAACCTCTGTAAAAAGCATTCAAATACAGCACTGATGTCTAGGACTTGCGAAATTCCTTACCGCAAACTCTGTGTTCAGCAACTAAACTCCTTATATGAATACAGCTGCAAGGAGCAGCACAGCCAGACAGTTGTAGCAGAACACTGCCACGCCACAGGCTAAAATAACTTTTAATAGCAGCAGCTCGAGACTCAGCACACCTCTGCTACGCAGAGGAAACGCGTGCTATGCTTAAGACAGCGCCTTTCACTTGTGGACAGAAACCCATCAGATACTATCTTCCTTTGAGCAAAGGTAGGCTTGTCCCTACCCGAACACAACCCGCTCAGGCTTTGCCCAGAGAGACCCTCAGGATGAGCCCCGCACGCGGCGCGGCCAGACCGACGCCATTAACGCCGAGCACAGACCTACCAGCACAGGTCCCTCACGGGGGAGCTCAGCAGAGCCGAGGGGACCCCACACACAGCCCCGGGGGGGAGGAGAAGCCGCCCGGCCTGCGCGGAAGCCGCTCATAAGCCACACGGAGCCCCACGAAGGGCGAGGAGCCGCCCGCCCGCCCGCCCGCCTCCCATCTCAGGCGGCCTCGCGTAGGCCACCCCACCCCTCCCCGCCCCGACCGACCGCAGCGGCCTCTCTACTGCCAGGCCTCAGGGGAAGGGCCCGGGGACACCGGCGCCCACCGCCCCGCTCACCTCCGCGGGGCCGCCGAGCGCGACGCAACGCGACGCGGGGCCGCCGGGCGTTTGAAATGGCGCCCCGCTCACGTGACGCGCCCCGCGCGCCCTCACTGGCAGGTTCGAACGATACACGGCACCGCCCCCCCCCCCCCCTCCCCGGCACTGTGGGGCTCGTAGCTGTCCGGGGCGCTCGGTGGCGCCCACCTCCCGCCGGCAGTTTTTAACCGAGCGAATAAATGTCGTTACTCACGGGCTGGTAGAAGTAGAGATGGGCTTCTGGAGCGTCGTAGCCTCCGGGGCCCTCAGAGGCTGCCCGGAAGGCCGCGGCAGGCGGCCGTGGGGTGGCTGACGGTGTTCTCCCAAAAGGAGGGTTCTTTCACGCGGTATACGAGCCAATACACCCAGGGTTAAGGTATTTCTTTTCTTTCATGTCTGCGTGAAGATGGGTGCTGGGCGGTAATTCCACAAAGCTAGCACACCACACAAAAAAACTTCAATGTATTTATACACTTCAGGCTACACAAATACACACTTACTTAATGACCATCCGTTAGTTTCTTATCACTTTGTCCTTCACTGGTTAGTTATATTTAGATTAGCCTTGCTTGCTATGTAAATTAGCACACATGCTCCTTACAGGTGTGGGGGTGCAAGTCTTTTTGGTCTTGATCTGTGGTTGAGATCCCCCCTGATGTCTCTACCTTTCTCCCTGTTTTGGGAGAAAATTACCCAGCCTCAGGCACCTTTTGGGGCAGGATGTTCCCCTCTTACCCATCTTTTAGCTTCTCTTCAAGGGTATAGTCATTAGCAAGGTCTGCATGTATACAAAGTATCAGGCTTATGCAATAGAGCCAATGTTTAGTGATCCTCCTTAGAAGATTTAAATGCTGTATATCTAATTATAACTTGAATAGTGTCGCTATAGCTTGGACATTAACCCAAACATATGGTTTTATTCAGTCTACAATGGCTCCCTCCTTGCAGGCCAGGCCGCTCCTTGGGCGCTTCCTACTCCTCAGGTGCAGGCTCCAGCCTTGCTGTTTCATCCCCACCGCTTGCTGCTGCAGAGCCCCGTTTGCCTGGATGACTTCGGCAGCCATGGCGGTGGCAGCAACAGAAGGGAAACCTGCTGTGCTCTGCTGTGCAGGGAGATGGGTGTCTGCGGTAGGTATCTGCAGACCTGTGGACAGGACCTGCAGGGAGCCCATGAATTGTCTGGGCACTCCTGGAGCACCCGGCTCCAGGGCCCTGCCGGGGTGCAGGGCCTCGGTGACAGATGGCACAGCTGCCATGCTGGTTGTGGTTGGAGGGTGAAGATGGAATCCATTTGTTTCCTCCACACCTTTGCTGGACATGACTGTCCTAGTCACCTAACTGCCCCAGAAGAGATATGTACCTGTTACTAAACCAACATAAGGAATAGCAAGATTCCTGGATGTCTGTCCCAACTACTGCTAATTAATAAGAGCTGACTGATAGAATAATTTTTAAAGTAGACCTATGTCAGTAAGAAACACCAGGAAAACACCACTCTTCCACATTTCATCTGACATTCAATGCTGTGCAGTGCTTAGGGTTTTCTACTAATACGTGCATGGCCTCAGAAAATGCAGTTAAGTGATGTATTCTGTTCTGAGTATTTCAGGATGTCTAATTAAATCACTGGACTGAAATCTAGCAGCTGAATAGAAATGGTTAATCACAACCTGCAGATTTTCATATAGATAAAATATTTTGTAACCCTTTCTCTACTTGGCAACTTACCTGGCAGGGGAGACACCATGATCAGGCAGGTGGTTTTCCCAGGGTGAGGCTCATCCCTCTCCAGGTGTGCTGAGACCCTGCATTTTCCCCAAATGCGGGAAACTCGACTGCATAACTTGTGGTATAGGGGGGCATGCGTTCGTACTCTCCCCTGTTAAGGAGGGGGCAGGTGTGCTGGAGCAGAGACCCCCCTGTATCCTTTGGTGAGATGTCAGGGCAGCCCTCCCCTTACCCCCCCCACCACCCATGAAGGTCTACTGTGGAGCAGACACTGATTTATGGCCTGTGAGAGGCCTCATACAACTATTTAAGGTGACTGCACCCAAATGAGGCCAGGATGCTGTGGGAAGAAGCAGCCCCCACTGCTGTAGTTCAGCACTAGGAGGATTGCAGCATATAGGGGTGCCCCATGCTGAAGCAGCTTGAGGAGAGCTGCAGCCTGTGGGAGGGACTCAGGGTGGAGAAAGTTTGTGGAGGATTGTGTCCTGTGAGAGGGGGACCACGCTGGGGCGAGGGGAAGAAGTTCCAGAAACTCCCCCCACCAAAGATGAAGAAGTGGCAGCACTGACTGCACTCCCCGCCATTCCCTGCCCCTGCGCTGCTGGGGGAGGAGGTAGAGATACTGGTAGCAGAGCTAAGCCCGGGAAGAAGGGAGCAGTGAGGGAAAGGTATTTTCAAGATGCGGTAATGCTTCCCACTGTCCTACTCTGTTAAGTGTTCTTGTTAGTTTCTGTCATAAATCTATGTTCTTTTTCGCTTCCCCTAACGAGTCTGCCTTTTGCCTGTGACCGTAATGGGTGATTTGCCTCTCCTGGTCCTATCTCGAATTCCAAACCTGGCTTATTTTCTCTTTCTCATAGCTGAGGCAGAAGCGGGGAGTGAGCAGCTGTGTGGTGCTCAGTTGCCATGACATCTGAGCTCAAACCATGACATCTATATAAAAATATAAATGCTACATGAAGGAAAGGCAAAAACCTTTAGAAACGTACCAGAACTACACATTCAGATTGTCTTAACAGCAAATATATGTGATAATAAGCTTAAAGTAACAGATAAATGAGAAATAAGGTTATTTTATTTTTTTTTTGACAGGTTAAAGATGATGCAAGAAGGTGTCCACATTTTGTTCTTGGAAATAAGGGCTTTGGCCTGTTTTTCTGAACCACAAATTTAAATGTGTTTATTCACAAGCCCTACAAATAGCCACTGGACCATTGGATTTATTATACTAAAACCATTATCCCAGCTGATCATGCAATGCCCAACTTCAGGGGGAACTTCTGCATTGGAAAAGCCTCTTATTAATTAATGGCTCCAGGTGGTCAGGGAAGAATAGGATGTATGTGACACTGTTACTAACCCTAAATGTCCAAACGTTTTATTTTGTGCTGATATACTGCTTACTAACTACTTACTGAATATGATTGTGTTATAAAAGTCAACAGATTATTAAAGAAGGCACCTGCTTTTTCATAAAAATATTTGAATATTAAAGCACATATAAGTGATCATGGCTTGAAATTTCATTCCAGGCAAGTTAAACCAAATTAGTTGTAGAAAGGAACTAAGGTTTACCCCAAAATAGCCTGTGATCTAATAGAAAGTAGTTAGTTCTAAGTTACAGCTCATCCTGCATTTTTCATCAACAGCACCCTCCATCTGTGCATTACTTGTGTTGCTATGAATTTGGCAACACTTCAGCAGCGAGCTACTGTTTATAAGAAGGGATCCCAGCAGCTAAAAGAAGCCAGTCGTTGGGATTACTCATTACTTGCCTTGTGAGCTGCTCCAGGGAATTTTTTGAAGAATAATGTCAAAATCAGCTTTAGAAAAACAGTAATTTGAGAATTTATGATTGACTCGTATCCTAGATTAGTGTTGGTCAAGTTCATGGGCTTGGAAGAAGGATTCTTTTTGCTGGTACCGAGTGAAGATTTTCTTCTTCTGTGCAAGGAAACAAGGGGATAAAAAAGGCCTTTTTCCTCTCTGCAAGAAGAAACCTGACACATTGGGACCTCAATCACCAAAACACCATGAATGTTTCCAGGAGGTAAGCTGCAAATACTGCACTCCCCTCAGGTAGGAATAGGAAAGCAAACTACTGACAGAATATTCCTCTTGTGGTCTTCACATGTTGCTGCCAGATGATCATGAACTGTGTTATTTGATTTGCAGTTGTACAAGACAGAAGGTAGCCCTTGTCCTGATACAAATGTTAAACATGTATTTATAATTCTACAGCTATTTTCTGTAAAATCTCAGCTGCGGAACTTCTGTTTTATTGATGAATGCCTTTTTGCAGGTTGCATATCCTAGTCTTTCATTTTTAACAAATCAAGTTTTGACAGCTCTCTACCAAATGTCCATAAGTATATACATATAATTTGTGTTTAGAAGCTCTTTACTTATAAACTGTATCTGAGGTAACATTTTTGGTAATTCCTCCTCTTCTGTGATAAGAACAGCAGGAAAACATAGGAACCAGAGCTGTAATACATCTAATACTCCTCAGACCCCTTCCTAAGCTACACGAAAATCACAAGCAGATTGATCTTCTTTTGGCATTCCAGTTCAGATGGTATTGTGGACATTCAACATTTTTTTCTCTTAAAAAATAAAAGAAGCAGGCCTACTGGGGCTTAGCAGGCAGTTTTCCGTGGTGGTAACAGTAACGAGATCAGTAACCATAGGCTAACGCTTCTACTTTTAAACCATTTGGGAAAGGTGGCAAAGCAATGTTACTCCAGAGAATCCTGCAGATACACTTCGTGTAGTTACTCATGGTTGGTATTTTTGGCTAATGAATACCTACCTTGACACAGACTACTGAGGGAAGTCTTCTCTGAAAAGCAGAGATTGAAACACATTATCGGAGCAGGATGGGAAGCTCACATAGCATATATAAAGCTTTGGAAACTGGTATTTTTTTTAAAACCCTGCCACTTTCATAATGCCGCAAAATGAAAGGGTATGTTTTTTTCTCATACAACTGATCTGTATCAACGATGAAGTGTAAGAGCACTGTGCGTCCTCTAAAAGCCCATACCCAGTCTCTCTGCCTGTCACTGGGAGAGAAATACCAAATGGCTGGTAAATGTTTTGTATTTCCAGTTATGGAAATTACTTTATTAGCCCCATACAGTTTGAAGAGCTCTTTCCCAAATCTAGTCAATGATACAATGCACACTCTGGACTTCATTATAAACACTACTGAACTGTTAATAAAAAAAGAATCATGTTAAATCTTAATCTTGCTTTTTGTTACGGCAGGATACATTCTCTCCGTGCTCACAGACAGAAAACCAGTGGGAACAAAAATGAGAACTGGCACAGCACCTCTGGGTTCAAGCACCAGCATGGCGATGATCTTGCTACAGTCCATACCCTTTACACAGTGATTGTCATGATCCTTCTAATAGCAATTTGGGGAGCCTGGTCAAGAAAGGATTCATCCTTATAGCAGCAGTATGCTTTCTTTGTCAAATATTTAAAGGAATGTTTGTGTCAATTATTCATATCCAGGAGGTAAAAAAAAAAAAGGTCTCAGCATACTACAGTTTACTTGAAACTGCTTAAACTGTTGCTACTTGTGGAACTGAATCTGTGAAGCAATTTAATAGTCAATGTGCAGAACATGACTTCGTGAATAACATATACCTGTTTGCATTGTACATGTTTATATTACCCTTTGCACGTATATGAAACTTACTTTAAGCACAATATGCTAGCAAGAAGAGTTCAGCATATGTTTTTATTGGTCAATGTTTTGTATATCCACTCCAGCTTTCCATTTTGTTGTCCAGTCTCTACCTGCTAAGATTACTGTTGTTTGATCTCAGAGAGCAACTGATCACCATGCAGCTGCTCTCCCCTAGCCCCCCAGCACTGGGAAGGAGTAAATAAAGCAAATTGCTTGGGAATTGAGATAAGGACAGGGAGGTGTGACTCACCCATTAAGGTCACCGACCAAAGAGACTACAGAGGGGAAGAAAAAAAATGAACATAAATTTAATTCAGACACTAAGAACAACACCACCTAACAGACAGAATAGGACAGTGAGAAGCATTACATCTTGAAAACACCTTCACTCCATCCCTCCCTTCTTTCCAGGCTTAGCTTTTCTCCTGATATCTCTACCTCCTCCCGCAGTGACGCAGGGGGCAGGGATGGGGGGGTGCAGTCAGTGCTGCCATTTCTTTCCTCAGAGAGCGGGGGCAGGAACTCCTCATATTCTTCCCCAACTCACATGGCTCCCCTCTCACGGGAGACTGTCTTCCACGAACTTTCTCTAACATGAGTCCCTCCCACAGGCTGCAGCTCTCCCTGAGCCGCTCCGGTGTGGGACACCCCCGCATGCTGCAGACCTCCCAGTGCTGAACTACAACAGCAGGGGCTGCTTCTTCCCGCAAAATCATGGCCTCCTCTTCAGGCACAGCCACCTGCTCTGGTGTGGGCTCCTCCACAGGCTTCAGGCTGGCCTCTGCTCCTCCATGGGTGGCAGGGGGCAGGGGGGCAGCCCTGCCATCTCACCACGGGCTGCAGGGGGAGGGTCTCTGCCCCAGCACACCTCCTCTCCTCTACCCCCCCCTTCTTCCTTCCACTGACCTCGGTGTTCACATAGGTGTTCTCACAACCCCTCCTCACAACTCCAACTCCACCTCCCAGGTTCCCCTTCTTAAATAGTTATCACAGAGGCACAGCCACCATCACTAATTGGCTCAGCCCTGGCTGACTTGGAGCCAGGGGAGCTTCAAGAAGTTTCTCACAGGGGCCACTGCGGTGGCCCCTTCCTCACTATCAAAAACCCTGCCACATACACAGACCCAGCACAATTATCTGTCCTAATCCATGGTTAAACATACACTATAAACAGGCAAATAATCTGCCATGTCACAACAGCATAGCAAAAAAAAAAAAAAATCACTAAAACCAGCAACCCTGCAGGCAAAGGAATACCTCTGAACAAGTCAAATTCTTATCTCCATTGCTGAAGAGAGTTTATATGGGGCTTGCATGTGCATATTTTTAACTTATGGTAATGACTTTGTAAACTCAGGAATAAACCCATGAAATAAACTGTATCTGTAAGCATCCTTTGTTGCAGAGCCAACTGGCTCAGTCTTCAATCTTGTACCAATATATTTAATTAATCTTCAACCACTGCTTGCTTTTCCATAACTCATTAATACCTCATGGCAGCACCAACCTCTAAATACACCAGCCCATCCTTGATGGGGGGTATTCCATACTCCCACTTTTTCAGGGAAATAACTCCACTCAGAAAACCTTCAAGCTTTCTGGAAATACAGCCAGTTAGCAGTCTCTGTTGAACTCTTTAATTGTATGGTTGCCTACTTCTGATGAGCTCAGGTTAATGGACTGGCAGTTCTGAGGGGCAGTGGCTGTTGGGAACAATAGTTCAAGCCTCTAGAGTTTAAACTCAGCCTAAACAACACATTTCAGCATTGTCTAAACTAATAAACAGTGTCCTAACAAGCAAATGACTGCAAGACATTCTGAATACTTTGGAACAGATAGATATATGTTTGTAATTATGTAATACCTGTAGACAACATAATTCTTGAAAGTACTGTGTATCCCAGTCCAGTATCCATCAGGAGGGATATACAAACTGAAAGGCTTTGGAGAAGACCTGCATGGCATACCACAGGAACATTTACGCAGCACGGTGTAGCACCAGAGACACCCGTGTCAGCTCTCAACAGGCGGGTGTGGGAGCTGGAGCCAGTGTTGCTGTACCTATGCAATACTCCACCAGTGTCACCCTACTTGGGCAAACACCCTTGCTAAGGTACCACCTCATCATGCTTTAACCTGGGAGCAGAGCTTTGATGGTGTTCTCTGAAGAACAGCACAAAGGAATAATAATAAAAAAAAAAAAATAGGTGATTGGCACATTAAATATATTGTCATAAGACATAGGGACCCCAGTCATAAACCATATAGCATGAACTAATATTACAAGTGAAAGCAAAAGGATAGTCCCTCCCTCGTAAACATACCATTGAAGTACACAAGAAGAGAGAGGGATTTAGACATTCTGACAGTAGTACGAAGAACCCCAGGTGACTGGGGTTGCATGAAAGAAAATGGCCTCAGTGCACTGGAAGCTTACTGTCATCAAGGCTTTTGTAGGAGAGAGGGAGTTTTGAAAAGGGGTCAAAGAGTGGTACTGAATAATCATTTATTTTGAAAATTATGAAGGGAGGCTCCCCTAGCTGAAGTAGGCACGGGAGGCCTGACGATGCTGCTGCTTTGAAAACACAAGAAGGCAAGAGAGTAAGTTCAGCCTATAGGAGACTGATGTGAACTGTGAAGGGCTTTGGAAGTAAAAGTAGACAGGTAAAAGCATATCAGGATGACAGAAGAGAGGAAGCGAGGGAACAGAGCTGGGGAGGGGGCACACTTAATGATAAGGGGAATTCACTCCTGGAACTAGTCACTGACAGCTGACGTGGATTTTTCCTTTGCTTAAGATTTTGTAAGACAGATTGGCTATTTGTTCTAACATAGGTAGCTTCTACTAATTTTAACTATTTTTACTAATATCAGACACACAGTTCAGAGATGCACAGGCTGCAGCTCATAAATTGAGCTGCCAGATCAGTGAATCTGCATGGCCTGTACTGCTGTGTTCATCATAGTGGCCTGCAGATGTGGCCGCAGAGCACTCAAGAGGAGTCATCCTGATGTGAGGCAGCCTACCCTCTGCTTCTCTCTTTCCCTGCAGCACCTCTGACCCTTTCACATCGCTGTAAGATTTGCCATGTGCCAAAATACACACTCTCCCAACCACGAGACGGGCACATATCTGATCCTACACACACGCTGCCAAATCCTGGTGTGCTACTGGACGTCCTCCCCCTCTGGAAGACTATCTCTGTCATGGCAGGGCAGGCAAGTTTTCCTTGAATATATGTCTGCATTCCTGCTGCATGCCCAGAGGTTACCTGTTACGCGATGGACAGGCCAGCAGTTTGGACACTTACCAGAATTCCCTAGGCTGAAAGCTCACAAACTGCCTTTAACTCAAACAGCAATAGCCTGCTGCCTTTAGCACATATCGCAAAGTCATAGAATCACAGAAATATACAATGGTTTGGGTTGGAAGGGACCTTAAACACCATCCCGTTCTAACCCCCCTGCCATGGGCAGGGACACCTTCCACCAGCCCAGGGTGCTCAAACTGCTCAACCTGGCCTTGAACCCTTCCAGGGAGGGGGCAGCCACAGCTTCTCTGGGCAACCTGTTCCACCGTCTCACCACCCTCACAGGGAAGAATTTTTTCCTTACATGTAATCTAAATTTACACTCTTTCAGTTTAAAGCCATTACCCCTCATCCTATCACTACACTCTCTGATAAAGAATCCCTCCCCATCTTTCCTGTAGTCCCCATTAAGTACTGGGAGGCCGCTATCAGGTTTCCCTGGACCTTTCTCTTCTCCAGGCTGAATCACCCCAACTCTCTCAGCCTGTCCTCTTAGGGGAGGTGCTCTGGTCCCCTGATCATCTTCATGGTCCTCCTCTGGACCTGCTCCAGCAGGTCATTGTAAAGATACAAACCAAGTAATTGTAAAATAAGTCATTGTAAAACAAGTAATTGCAAAAGATGGCTTTCTACAGTCTGTTTCTTGTTTGCTCTGTCTTCTTCCCCCTCCTTCCCCCAAGAAACTCATATATTGCAAAGCATTCAAGCAGGAAAGTGAGTTCTGTAGTGGACAAGGTTTTAGTCATCGCCTTTTAAAAGCACAGGCTGCTGGTTTATTTCAATTTTTATCATATATACAGTGTTAAAAATGCAGCACAGGCAAACAAAACAAAACAAAACAAAACACCCCCACCACACCATCCCCCCCTCCCCAAGAAAAAAAAAATCTAGAACAACTGACCACACATCACACTTCTGGATTTAGTTGCTAAATTTATAAATCCTGCAGGTATAATCCTGCCTCTGAAGCACTGGAGATCCATAGCAGGTATTGAAAATGCCTCAGCTTCCTCTCTTTCACCTTGTGATAGAGGAGATGAGGTATGAATGCTCAGAGGAGCTAGCAACAGAACATTAAATGTTTTGAAAAACCTGTCTTTTTTCTTTAAGCTTTTGCTTTGCTGGAAAACAGTGGTGATTGATTTAACAGTAAAGTTAGAGATCCAAATTGACTATTTCTTAACGTGTTCAGAAATCAGAGCATAACTTTGCAAGGTCAATAAAATCTATATTTATTACCAGTTTTTGTAAATAATTTAACTTGGATAATGCAACTAAGACTAGAGGAAAACTCTGGTCTTGAAGGACAAAAGCATAGTCTTCACTGCCAACATACCCAAATCATCTGCCTGACTGGATGACACTATGAAGGCTTCAGCTCCCAAAATAATTTCTAGTAAATCCACCCATGAAAATAGTTCATTTGGATCTTGCAGTAAATCACAATTTCAAGTTACCTCATGTCAACAGCAACAAACTATTTAGTATTTCTACACCAATGAAATAGACTGACAAAAATTAGAAACTGGGAACCCAAGTTTGGAACTTGTGTATCAATTGTTATGCAGTGATTTTTTATTAATATTTCTCTATATTAAACAGACCAGACTGATGTTTTACATGTGTTCAGAAAAGGCTGTGGTTTAAGCATATCTGTCTGCTGTTACTTTAAGTTACCAAAACCAATGTCAGCAGTTCAGCCAGCAGATCTGATGATATACTCCATGTACCAACTGGATTGTCAGAAAAGGAAAACAAGTCTTTTATTTTCCATGGTCATTCTCACACGCTGATGTTACACACGTTTTATTTCAAAAGACTCAAGCCCTTCCAAGCTCTATTTTTTACTACTGCCTCACACTGCCCTTTAGAGAGGACGATACATTCTGTAGTACCATCTTCAAATCAAGAAATCAGCGCATTTTTCCTGAATAATTTATGTATTATATATATGCAATATATATATTATTTATAATCCTTACAGCAGCCTTCCAGTACTTAAAGGGGACCTACAGAAAAGATGGCGATGAACTCTTACCAGGGAGTGTACTGATAGGATGAGGGGTAACAGTTTTAAACTGAAAGAGGATAGATTTAGATTAGATATAAGGAAGAAATTAAGTTGTGTGAGGGTGGTGAGGTGCTGGCACAGGTTGCCCAGAGAAGCTATGGCTGCCCCCTCCCTGGAAGAGTTCAAGGCCAGGTTGGACGGGGCTTGGAGCACCCTGGGCTGGGGGAAGGTGTCCCTGTCCATGGCGGGGGGGTGGAAATAGGTGGTCCTTAAAGTCCCTTCCAACTCAAACCATTCTATGATTCTATGATTTCTTTTGATAAACTTGTAATTCCCTTGGTACTCTTAAGTGTTTTGCCATTGATTTGGTTGGTAAAGAGAAGGATGGTACTTGTACTCTGTGTTTTAATTGAGGGAAGAATTAATCAAAATCAGATACACACACAGAGACAATACCAGGTCCATATGTCAGTTTGCTGGTCTGTTTACTGTAGTGGAAAACATTTCAACTCTAACTCAGACTTGCCTCTCCCCCAAAACACACTTGGTTCTCTCAAACACTGTGTGCAAGAATCTGGAGCACAAGTCTTCCAAATATCTTGTATATACTCAAATTAATACCTTGGACAACATTGGAAAAAAACCCCAAAATGCAGTTATATGGTTTTACACACATCCCAGAAAAACAATACAACATAACAAACAATATATATTTCTACCTGATTAGGACTATTTTTTCTTAAACAGGATGCCTGCATGTGATTAAATTATACTCATGCAGGGCTGTTGGACCTGGTGACTACTGGAAATCAGTCATCTTTTTAGTTCCCTTTGATGTTCTTTCCTAACAGTGGTTCAACAGAACAAAACAAGTTCAATGATCCTTTCAGAACGCTATGTAAGTTGTATTGTCAATTTAGGTGAGTAAATCTATGGTGCAAACTTCTCTGTGAATTCTGCACCTGGAACCAGGCCCTGGAAAGTCAGCATCACCATGCATAATTCAGTGTTATAAAGTAAAAGCACCTCTCATTATCCTTTAACACCAACACTAAAGTACCACAGGAACGCACCCGTACATCAGCAGCACCTTGCATCTGATGACATCAGATTGTCAGGTGATAACACCACCACAGCATCATTCATACTGACCATACTCACTGTTCCACACATATCTGATGCCCGTGCTCCCCACCGCCGGCTGCCATGGTGCCCCTCCCGCCCCTTCCTGTTCCCAAAGGGTGGGCAGCAACTCAATCCCACTAGCTGAAAGAGGAGGTGCTGCTGATAGTTTATGGAAACTTTCCTTTCTCTAGTCCATCAGCAATACTTTCTGCCATAGAGACATCTTTTCCGGCAGCAGTGTCGTTAAAAGGCTATCATACATCAGGGTTGCCAAAACAAAACAAATCAAGGGAGGGGTAATAAAAATGATTTACGATGTTTGAATCCTATCTGGGACGAGCAAAACATTTAATGAAAGAGAAGAGTACAGATTTCCAAGCCTTCTGTTTATGATCAACTTAAGATACTGACAAAAGTGATTTTTTTCTCGTTAAGAAAATGGAGGTAAATGCCAACGTCAAATTCTGGTTTGCACAGAAGAATTGCTCTCTGTGCTTTGAACAAAGCTCAGATTACTCCCCTATCCAAGCTTGCTCATTAAAGCTCAGACGTCATCCAACTACTTAGTACTATACCACTTTCTCTGAAATGCAGGTTGAATTGCAATGAAGTGTTTTTCCATCTTAGAAAGCCCTCTTTTTCCTTTTAAAAAAAATTTATTTCCACATTTTCATAAAACATCTTTTGTTGATATTCTGCAAACAACACTATCCAATAAGGTGCTGATTTTTTCTTCCTGTGGAGTGACTTTGTACATCTGCAGTAAAAAAGAATAAGAAAAACATAAAAGCTGTATAAGGAGGAAAAAAAATTGGTCACATGCCTTCTAAAAATATGTACACAAGAAGATTTTTCCATCTCCCCCACATTTTATGCTGGAAATTTCTATCTTGTCGTGACTGCAAGACAAAATTGGGACCGAGGCACCAAGCAAATTCTGAAACTGCAAAACATAAAGGAAAGCTAAGAAACTGAATGAAAGCAGCATTTCTGGCTCCACATTATATGCTATGATTTGTTCAATTCTATTCGTATGTCTTCCATTATTACTTTGACAGACATGATGAAGATGATTTAAGTTACTTTAATTTTATCAAGTGAAACACACATACTTCAAGATACCGACCTAGCATATGGTAATCTGTTAAGAACACACATGCCCTAACACAGCTCCTAGCGACTAATCAACACATTTTTATTTCAGCCGCCCATGCTGGGACTATTTATGTGTTTAAGATTATGAAACCCTTCAGGACTGAAAATTTATTTTTAATTAAATGGGTATTTGCCTGAGAAAACAGGAAGTAAGAGTGTCTGAATGGTAGGCAGCAATCTGGAATTTATTTTTATGTTCCAACCTCCTGCTAATGTTAAGAATCTGAAGACTTAAAATTGTGATGTCAGGGTGTGATGACTAGAGCTTTTTTCAAGTAAAAAAAATTATTAAAAAGACATAATGAAGGTTCATTTAAAACGAAGTTTCCAGTTGTGCTAAAGAAATACAGGCCCTAAATTAATGATGTCTATTGATATTTAATCAACTAAATAACCAATCCCTTTTCTCTATGCCAGTCATCTCTTTTGGCTACATACCTTTTTAACTTCAGCAGTGTCTGTTAGTTGAGGGAGTTCATCTAGAGAAAGCTGTTGGCCTTCTACCTGAGATGTTATATCTTCCAGATTTACAGTTTTTTCTCTGTCGACAACCAGAACAATGAGTACTGATGTGTCACTGTCTGAAAGGCCAAACTTTTTAAATGCATCTGAAATCTAACAAAAGATGAAAAATACAAAAATATTACGAGTCATTTTCTCACTATGTATAAGCAAATTTTTTAGTTACTGGGTCAAATAAACCAACAGTATAAATTGACACATGCTTTACATTAATGGAATTCTGACAAGCTACAAGAGATAACAGCATATTAGTGTTATTAAAAAGAACACTAATTTCTATTAGTAGCCAGGTAAACAGTTAAGTGAATAAACATATTTAGTTTTGCTGCATGGATCTTAGCAAGCTTCTCTGCTAAAAAAGACATTTGTTCAGTAAATCTTACATTGTTGTTTGGTGAAAGGCTGAAAATAATTTCTGCATAGAGAGTTCTGGTCTTCATTTTACCTATCTTGTGTAGATGAACTGCTTTGTTGGCTGCCACAAGAATTTGAAAAGGATCAACAATCTGTAAAATATAACAGAAGTTAAAGAGAAATTCAGCATACCGTTTTGAACTCTGAAAAAATGCTGACCACTTAATTTTGATAGCCTAAATCTGCAATTGTAGAAGCTGGCAAAACAGTATTGTCCTAGTTATTTTAGCCATTCTTGCTCTTCCAAAGTCAATGTGATTATTTCCTGAGTGGGATAATACTTGACATAAAAGTAAAGATTACAATTTTAATCAGGTTACTGAAATTTTCTGAAAAAAGAATCACATTAATAAATTTGTCAGTAGTTTGCCAATTAGATTTTTTTTCCCTTCCTTAGTTTATTTGCTAATCCTTACAAAAAAAAAAAAAAAAAAAAAAAAAGATTCAGAAACTAGTTGCGGTTTTAAATGAGAACAAATGCTTCAAATAGTAGCATTTTCACAGCATTAAGCAATTAGTACTACATTTTACAGATTCAAGTAGGTTTAAATAGCTCCACCAAGTAGGACTTGAAGTGAACCAAGACAATTGTTTTGGACAATCCTGCCAAGGCTCTCTCTTTTACACAGATGAATTGTTACAGTGTAGTGAAATCAAAGGAGGGGCGTTTGCGCAGAGAAAGAAGTGCATGTACAGCAACTCGTGTGACAGCGATGACAAACACAGACCGTTTTTCACAGAGTTCCCCCCAAGAAGGATTTCCACACGGCCTTCAGAACTGTAGCGGGGTACAAACAGGAGGACACAAGCATCCACTCACCATTGCGGGCTTTATTAACGCCCCTTCAATGGCTCCTTCCATGGCTTTTTTCCTTAGAGCAGCGGCATTTTTCACGTGGTTAAAGAGGAGGAGAGTGACGCTGCAGCCGGGGAACAGCTCCAGCTGATGCGTTAAATCCATCTCGCAGCGATGGCGCACACCGGCCCTACCGCGTTCGCCACAGTAACGCTTGTGGAAAGACGGACACACTCTTGCCTCCTGTGAAACACAATTTTAATCACACGCAGCCATTCGCGGATGGTTTTCAACCCTCCCTAGAGGGGAAACCCCACGCCTGCGGCCTCCACGGCCGGAGGCAGGCCGCACCTCCCTCCCGCTCCGCCGCTCCCCTCACCCCTGCCCGCCCGGCAGCGGCCGCCCCGCCAGCGGCCACCGCCCGCGCCTGGCTGCTCCCCCCCGGCCCTCACCGCCGCCCGCCGAGCGCCGCCAGGCCCCTCCTTCCCGCGCTCAGCCCTCCCCGGAAGGGCGGCCGCTTCCCGGCCGGCGCGGCGGCGGCATGGAGCGGCGGGAGGCCTACAGCTTCTCTGCCGCCATGAGCGGCGCCTTCCTGCTGTCCTGCCTGCTCTTCGCGGCCGTCAGCCGCAGCCAGCGCGGGCCCTACATGGACGAGGCCTTCCACGTCCCCCAAGCGCAGGCCTACTGCCATGGCCGCTTCCTCCAGGTGCGGCGCGGAGTCCGTCCCCGCTCGCCTCTTCCACTCAGGGTCGATGGTTTCTATAAACGCGCCGCGGGCGCTTTGAAAAAGGGAATCGTTGTTGTCCAGAACGCTTGTTACTGCCTTTTGTTACTCGGTGGTGCAGTAGTGCGCTGGGCAGGATACAAAGCATTCAAAAATTTACGTCTCATAGCGCCAGAAATTTGCTGAACATCCAAGCTAACCAAGCGGGGCATGGGTGGGGGTGGTCTGTGGTACCCTGCTGTGTGTCTCTGGTCCGTAACCCTCTGTCTCTCCATTTCCAGTGGGACCCCATGATCACCACGCTCCCGGGCTTGTACCTGGTCTCGGTGGGAGTAGTGAAGCCGGCCGCATGGCTCTTCGGGTGGACGGGAAGCATGGTGTGCTCAGTGGGAATGCTCAGGTTTATTAACCTCCTTTTTAGTGCTGGGAACTTCTATTTACTGTATTTACTTCTGTTCAAGATCCATCAGAAGAATAAGGTATGGTCAAAGTGGAATAATTGTATGCACTTGAACAAGCAATTCGTATGGCTCTGTGCATGTTTGCTTCACTCCATGTGTGAGCTGTCCTCTATTACTACCAATTTGGCTAAAGAGGCACATTCCTTTTCTCTAAAAATAACCAAAACCCAAAGTTTTCTCTTTCACAATGCAATCCTCTAAAACTTTAATCTTCTACATAACTAGAAGTAGTTTCACTGAAATAAAGTTAGTATGCATATAGACTTACGATCCAAAGGTCTGAATGTTCATCTAGTAGGGATTGCTTACAACTCTCCGCAGAACTTTACCCACTGAATCACTGAAGCTCTGTGCCGTGTTTAAACTAAAATCTGTTCTTTAGAAAGATGCCAGGTGTGATGTCAGTATTTAGAAACAGAATAATTCAAGTTGGAAAGAATTGCAGAATGGTTCATGTTGGAATGGATCTTAGGAGGTCCACCTTCCAGCCCAAAGCAGGCCAGCCCTGAGATCAGATCAGGTTGCTCAGGTTTGGCTCCTGGTAAACTCTAAGGGTGAAGAGTGACTGCATAAACTCTGTGGACAACCTGCTCCATGACTGACTGGCCTCATGGTGAGAAAGGTTTTTCTTCCATCCAGTCTGAACCTCTCATTTCAGTTTATGCCTGTTGTCTCTTGTCCTCTCATTGTGTACCACTTCAAGGAGCCTGGCTCCCTTTACCTGTTGACAATCTCAGATGTATTGGTAGGCTGCTGTTTGGTCCCCCCAAACCATTTATTTTCTGGACTGAACAAGGCCAGCTCCCTCAGCCTCTCCTCTCAGGGCAGGTGCTTCAGCCCCCAGCTGTCTTGGTGACCCTCTGCCATTGCTCCAGTTTGATAGTGCTTTTTTTGTATCACAGGGCACAAAATTAGATGTGGTGTTCTAAGTGCAGCCTAACAAATAAAGAGGGATAATCACTTCCCTTGCTCTGCTGCTATGCTCTTGTTAACGCAGCCCAGGAGGCTGTTGCTGTTCCTTAGTGCTTAGTGTGCTGCTGGCTCATGGTTACCTTGCCATCTGCCAAAAACCCCAGGTCCCTTTCAACACAGCAGCAGCTCCTCAGCTATTCCATGTCCAGCCTGTATCACTGTTGGGATTTCTTCCTTTCCAGGTGCAGGTGTTTGCATTTTCCCTTGTTGAAGTGCATAGTAGTTCTGTCACCCCAATCCTCCACCCTGTATAGGTCACTCTGGATGGCAGCTCTGCTTGTTAGCATATTGTCTGGTCCCACCAGTTTAGTGTCATCTGCAGATTTGATGAGGTTGTACTCTCTGCCTTTAAGTCATTGATAAGGATGTTAAACAGGACAGGTTGCACTATAGATCCCTGTGATGCTCTGGTTGCTACTCTCCTTTGGGTAGAGTGTGACCAGTTAACCAGCCAGCCAATTTTTACCTGTCTAGCTCTCCGCCCATCCACACCATAACAGTTCAACTTGGATACAAGAATACTGTATATTTAAAGTGGTGGAGAATCCAACACTGCAGTAGGTAAATTGTTTCAGTGGTTAATGACCTATTCAAAATCTTTCACCTTAGTAAAGTTCTTTAGTTTCACTTTTAACCATAAGAACATTTTTTCCTGTTCCCCAATAACTGAAGGATTCCTCTACTACAAAGAACATTTCTTCTGATGTATTTTCTTAGAGGAGACTTTGTGTTTAAGCACATGATAAGACTATACAGAATTGGGTGAAAATCAGTAAATTGTTTCCACTTTCAGAACACTTAATTTTATGCTTGGAGGTGGAAATATAAGGGTAAGAAAACAAAAGGTTTCATGGCAGTAGTCTAAGCATTAGAAACTGTAGTTGTATTGTTGGCACTTCTCTGAACTCATAATTTTCTCTATTCCTCTTTTCTGTAAGGTGGAGACTGGATGTTTCACCCCACGCTACATCATTCAGAAACATCATGCAACACTTTTTAATGTTGTGAATTGTGTTGCATCATGTGAGTGGGATAATTGGGAGGAGTTTTTAACTGCATGGTCTCCTACCTTCTTTAACGGTTCTTTTCTAACTCATGAATTATAATGAAGATAAACAATAAAAGTTGCACCAAAGACTAGGAACTTGGAACTGGCCACTCTGTGGTCTGGGTTCAAAAGAAGCAGTAGTAGAAGCACAGAATGACGTGTTCTGATGTCTCACAAATAAACAGAATCTGATTATGAAATTGCAGGGGGAAAAAACTGTTTTTTTTGGTTTTTTTTTTTTTTTTTCCTTAATTTTCTTTTGCCCATTAGTGCAGCTCTTTTATCTTAGGTATGAGAGCATTTATACTCCCACAATGATCTTAATGCCACAGATATGTGATCACCTGGCATATGAAAGAAGTTGGTGTATTTTCATTGCCATATTTTTAACTATCCTGCAGTAATGTTCTGTACTTTTGTTTGTATTTTAACATTCTGTAGTCTGACACTATATTAACATAGCAGGAGGTTAACAAAAATACAGCATGTGTCCTTGTGCACTAATGGAACCAAAGAGCATAAGAGATGTTACATTGTGTTAAAGGAATTCTCAAGAATGATACTCTTTATTTGGGTTTTATAATTTCATTTTTACTGGATGTTGCTAACCACATTTTTCTGTTTCTTCTCTAGGCTGTGTCTGGTTTCCAGAGAGTCTTGTGTACGTTGACTCTTGCAATGTTTCCCACCCTTTACTTTTTTACATTCCTTTATTATACGGACCCAGGATCAGTATTTTTTACTCTCTTTGCCTATTTAATGTGCCTTTATGGTAACCATAAAACTTCAGCTCTCCTTGGATTTTGTGGTTTCATGTTTCGTCAGACGAATATTGTGTGGACAGTTTTTTGTGCTGGAAATGTTGTTGCAGAGAGACTAAATGAAGCCTGGAACACAGAGTTACAGAAGAAGAAAGATGAAAAGATTTCTTCCAGGAAAGGATCATTTTCAGATTTGATCAGAATATGCCAGTTTCTTATTGAATATCTCATATCACCTAAAAACTTAATTACACTTATTGCTTTAACTTGGCCATACATCATATTAACAACCATTTTCTTTGTTTTTGTCTTCATCAACGGTGGAATAGTTGTTGGAGACAGAAGTAGCCATGAAGCCTGTTTGCACTTTCCTCAGTTGTTCTATTTTCTGTCCTTTACTGTTTTTTTTTCATTCCCTCATTTATTGACCCCTACTAAAATCAGGAAATTCCTTCTGTCCTTACAAAAGCACCCTGTGCAGTACAGCTTACTCACTGTCATCTCTTTATTCCTGATCTGGAAATTTACCTATGTTCATAAGTATTTACTAGCGGATAACAGGCATTATACATTCTATGTCTGGAGAAAAGTCTTCCAAAGACATGAGCTTGTAAAATATGTATTAGTTCCAGTCTATATATTTTCTGGCTGGAGTTTCACTGATACACTAAAATCAAAGTCGATATTCTGGATCTTAATGTATTTTGTATGTTTATTAGCAGTCACAGTTCCTCAAAAATTGCTAGAATTTCGTTACTTTATTTTGCCATTCTTAATATATAGGCTCAATATTCCATTTCCATCTCTATATAGACAACTTCTGGAGCTGGCTTTTTATATTGCTGTGAATGCTGTTACTTTTTATCTTTTTCTAAACAGAACGTTCCAATGGCCAAATAGTGACGAAATCCAGAGGTTTATGTGGTGACTTTTTATTTTTTTTTTTGATACTTTCATACCCTTAGGAGAACCCAGCTCTGTTTTAGGATTGTGGACCCTGTAATGAAGCAATATGTTTTGCATTATGTAAGGACTTTTTTCACCAGTTGGAATTGGGGAAGTAAGCTGCTTATATTCTTGCAACTGAATGTGAGATCCGAATGTGAATGTAATGTGAAGATATTCCATATATTGGATTTATGAGCTCCTGAAATTCACTATGATGGGAAATTTGAGAACACCTTTCTGTAATTAATGTGAAATAAAGGAGATGTTTACAGTCATTTTTCATTATTATAAACAAGCCCTTGAAGGTATGACAGTTTATAAGTATGTTTCAGAGGTTTCTCTTTAAAACGAAGTATTTCAGTGTTTAACCTTTTCATTACCTCTGGGTGCATATTTACTCCTTGGATCAGGCCACTTCCATCTAGGTTTGCTAGTGGTCAAGGAATGAACTACAAAAGTAAAATGTTTTCAGTATCTCCTACATCCCATTGAATTTTCATTATCTTTTTGTCAATAAATGCTTACATGAGTTTTGCAAATAGAATGTAGGCTCTTAAATCATGAGAGCATTTTGAAAGTTTTATATCAAACTGATATTTAGAAAATACAGTGGAGGCTATGTGCATGTACCTTCTTTGGGGGAATAAATGTTATTGTACAACAAAAGACAATGTGACCTATTAGAAGGGGAGTAATTTATGTATGTCAGACTGAAACATGTATTTACACACTGGAATGTGGTCTAATGAATACTCTCTGAAATAATCCTGAGATTCTGTGTTCACA